TGGTTCACAGGCTGGCACTCAATCTACTGAGCCACACCAGCCAGGGCTAAGTGGGGTTTCTTTGTGTGTGTATATATTCTGTGCAGAGTTGAATATCTTAAATCTGCGAGTTGATAATTTTCATTATTTTTTGAAAAGTTTAGCCCTGGCTGGTGTAGCTCAGTGGATTGAGCACGGGCCTGCGAACCAAACAATCGTGGTTCAATTCCCAGTCAGGGCACATGCCTGGGTTGTAGACCAGTTCCCTGCAGGCCAGTTCCCAGCAGGGGACGCACGAAAGGCAACCTTACATTGATGTTTCTCTCCCTCTCTCCTTCCCTTCCCCTCTAAAGATAAATAAATAAAATCTTTAAAAAAAAAAGTTTAATTAAAGACTGCTGGATTTTCATATCTTCTTCTGCATTGAGTCTTTGCAATATCACGTATCACGTGGACTCTGGAAAATTATTGTGAAAACAGTTCAGACCCTTTGAAAGGGCTGCGGGACCCTTCCGAGTCCCTTGACCGAGCTCTTGAGAACCGCCCTTCTAGATTTTGGTATTAAGGTTGTACTTACCTCCTGAAATAAGCCGGGGCATGTTCCCCTTTTTTTTGAACTCTGGAATAATTTGTGTAAAATTGGAATTACTGTTTTTTGAATGTTTACTAGAACTTGGGGAATCTCCTAGTCCTGGAATTTTCTTCATAGGAAGGTTTAAAATCTTACAGAACTATTCAGATTTGCTATTTCTTCTTGAGACTATTTTATGTTATATTTCAAAACAATTTTTCTACTACAAAACAGCTGCTTTGACTCTGTGTGTTGGCAGTGTGGGCTAATGTAGTAGGTGTCCTGTAGGGTCCTGGGGCACAGCCTTCCCTGTCACCTAAGCTGGGTACTCAAGGGGTGCCCTTCATATGTGATGAGCACACCCTCCTCTGTAGTTGAGCCTTGGTTGCTGTTGGCAGGTCAATGGGAGGGATTTACCCAGGCCAGTCAGCTGCAAGGATTGGTTATGACCATCTACCGCCAACCTTCACCTTCTGCAGAGGATCAGCTGTGCAGGGGCAGAGGGGCAGTGCTCCAGTGTGGTCTGTAGCTGTCCACTGTGTGCGCTGGCCCTGGGGTTTCCCACGTGGTGCGGGCCAAGATCAGTCCCCACCTTTGTTTTGCCTGAGGCCACCCTGCCCGAGTTACAAAGCAACGTGAGATGGCTGCTACTTGTTCTGGGCTTGGAGATTCCCAGGTAAAGCCAGGCTGTGAATCTAGGCTGGCTGCTGCTAGTGCCAGGCCCGGGGCTCACTGAGGCCAGCTGGTGCTTGCGTGGTAGTAGGTAGGAGGTTGTGACTGACACAAGAGCCAAGACCAGCCATTCATATGGAAAAGCAGCTTGGGCGGGCCTGTGAGTTGGGTGGGCCTGTAAGTTGGGGAAGAGTCTCTGGGGATCTCCAAGGCAGATCAAACAGTGTTAGCCAGTGTTTTGTTGTGATGGAATCTTGGTGTGCTAGCTCCGTGTGTGGAGGACCCAGAAAAGGGACAACGTCCTCTGCTCACCTTGATGCCTCAACCTCCCCCGAATGCCACTGGTGCCCCTCAAGCCGTCCGTCTCTGCAGCGCTGGAGCCCACAGGGAGTGAGTCTAAGTACTCGAATCTGTGTGTGTGTTCTTAAGGGGAACTGCTTGGGGCTCCAGAAGTTTCTGCCACTGACTCAATCCCTGCTGGTTTTCGCAGCCCAGTTATCTTCCTGGCACTGGAACCCTGGGCTGGGGGGCCTGGGCTGGGGGGCCTGGTGTGGGGCTGGGACTCCCCGCTCCATAGACATCCCTCCCGAATTTTTACCTGCCACACGTGGGCGTGGGGCCAGCCCGTTTTGTGTCTGGGGCCCCCCAGCAGTCTGGATGGATGTGGTTCCTTTAATTCCACAGTTGTCAGACTTCTATTCAACTCGATTTCTGATGGTTTTGAGCGATGGTTGTTCTGTATTTTGGTTATAGTTTTGATGTGGTTGTGTGAAGAGGCGAGCCATGTTTACCTACGCCTCCGTCTTGACTGGAAGTCCTCTCAGTCATCCTATCTTTTAAATATGCGTAGCATTTAGAGTTGTTTTCCTTTTCATTCCAGTTATTTTTTTGTGCTTTTTTTCCTTTATCTTGATTAACCTTACCAGAATTATGTCAAATGTCAATTTTATCCATCTTTTAAAAAACCCAGCTTTTAACTTGGTTGAGCCTTTCTGTCTTTTTAATTCACTTCTGTGTTTTTTCTTATTTTCTTCTATTATCTTTGGATTTATTTTGTGATATTGTCTTTTTTATAGTTGATCTGCAAATCGTGAAAATTTGTAAAGCTCATATATGAATATTTTTATTTCCTTAACTGTAGTTTTTTAAGCATGTGAGAAGAGTATTTTTCAAACTTGTATGACCCATTGTTGGGTTGTATAATTAATCTAGTAGGTTATGGCTAGAATTTTTTAAAGAGCGAATAGAAAAACACAGTGTTCACCCAATGTTCTATGTTAATTCTGTACACTAAGGTTAAGCATTGTTTTGTGAAGCTTTTATTTTAAATACACTCATGCACATACATACACACACATATCTGTGTCTATAGTGAGTCGCAACATAAAACGTTTCTAAACGTTTATATAGCTTCTATATAACGTTTCTAAAACGTGTATATAGCTTTTAGTTAAAAAAGAAAGAAAGTTTGAAAGCCACTAACTTCAGTGAAGATGTTAAACCCAGATGCAGAAAGTAACCATCTGGGAGCTGGCTGGGGTGACGGGTTCTGTGACCCTCTTAGAGGCCCTCAACCAGGCTTCCTGTGGGATTCTCGGCCTTTGGAGTCTGAGAACCACTGAGTCAGGATCTCAATAGACCTGAGGGCCTGTGGGAGGTTCTAGCTTGGAGCGGTGGACTGCAGTGCAGCTCCTTTGCTTGCGTTTGTCCGAAGGCCTGTCTCTGAGGGACCCCTGGAGTGGCAAAAGGCTGTTGGGCTGGAGGCACAGTGAGAGGCCTGGCCGGGGACATCCTCTAGTCGTTAGAACGACAGAAAGAGTAGAGTAGCTCTCATGCTTGCTTATTTGTCATAGAATCGCTCAGCATATATGGAATAGCTGATGTATACACCCCGAAGATGATAATCTCTAGGCCTAAAATGTATGAACTTCCATGCATTCGTCTGTGACAGGCAGACTCACTGCGCTCCAGTTCATGGTCTCAGAGAGACATGAGTGGCATCATTCATGACTTTTCAGCACAGTTTGCCCGCAAAGCTGATGGGATCCCAACAGCCAGGCCTGCTAGGAAGCAGTTTTGCATGCTGGTGGTGGGCGGGGAGAACTCTGTGTAGCCAAAGCAAAAATGGTTGATAAACCCTGAGATAGTCTATGAGCTTTTCAGTTATTTCCCCTTGTAATAATAGCTTTTCTGAAAGATCCATGAGTAGCGTGAGATCACTGTGTACGTTGGGACTTTGATGGGTGGAATGCTGAAGGATTGTGTTGCAGTAACGTGGCGAGTCTGTGGTGTACACACAGTCACACTCCGGGGTCTCCCCTCCCTGCATAGTATCCAGGCCTCAGACAGGGGCGGTCTGCTCCGTAAGGGCCTTACATTGTGGTCTACAGGGGAACTCTGTGCTTTCAGCGGAGGACTAAGAATTTCCTTTATATCAGTCAGTGTTGCTTATTGGCTGAGTAACAAGCCCACCAACGCTTCGAAGCTTAAAAACAGCAGCAATCGCGTATTGGCTCAAGATTCCGCAGTCCGCGTAGAGTCCGTGGGGTGGTCCACGTCGGCTTCGCAGGGTTTCCCTGCGGTCCTTCGGGGGGTCGCCTTCAGCTGGGAGCCCCGCTTCCTGCCGGCGTGGCAGCTGCGCTCCAGGAGGGCAGGAGCCTGTCACTTCTGACACGTCGTCTTGGTCAGAGCAGGTCACAGGCGAGCCCAGGTTCCGTAGGAAGGGAAGGAGATTCCACCTACTTCCCTTTTGTTGGAAAAGTGGCATGCGCACTCCCTGATGAGAATCGTTGGTGTCGGTCTTTGGGAGTTGATCCACCAGCCTGACCCTTTTCCCTCCCTCCCTCCTCATTCCTCCCATTATTCCTTCCTTCTATCTAAATGTGTCCACTACTGCTTTTGTTATAAAACATCAATGTACATTTTAAAGATTAAAAAACTTTTGAAAGTAGTTCTTTTAAAATTTTTTTTTCAAGTTTATTGATGGGAGAGCGAGCGAGAGAGATCGATTTGTGGTTCCGCTTATTTTTGCATTCATTGGTTGCTTCTCGTGTGTGCCCTTCCTGGGGCTTGAACCACCTGCAACCTTGACTTACCGGGATGATGCTCTGCCCAGCTGTGCCAGGGCCAAAGATTGAAGATCAATCTCTTCTTCTCTAATGCCCGTGCTGCTTCAATGCTATTTTTCTAGTGGTATTTCTGTATTTTGCATTTCGTTACAGTTTTGTTTGTCTTATCTGCCTTACGAGAACGTAAGTCCCTCTAAGGTGGGGTCTCTGCTTTCCTCTCTGTTTCCTTCACAGTGCGTGGTAGTCGCTCCATAGAGTCAAGTGAACAAGTGAACGAAAGCAGACTCCAGAATAACGAGTATTTGTCTGTTCAGGTGAAGCATCAGTGTGTGATAGGCAGTGTCTAAAAACAGCACAAAACGGCGGCCTAGCTGTTCCACTCCCAACTTTATTTCCTCGGTCAGCGGCCTTCTTCCCAGGCCCCTCTTCCCAGGCCCCTCACATGCACCAGCTTATGCTTTTGGTGAGTTTGTGTGTATGGGATATAGTTACCATTTTATATTACATCTCAATATGTTAAGCAGTATGTGTAGTATTAAATAGTAAAGATATAGTGTATATTCATACACACAAGGAAGGCTCACATTTCCTTTTCATTATTTCATCAAACCACTTAAGGGAACACATAGGTATATCAAAAGTTAAACACTCCTTCCAACGGTCTTTGCCGTAAATACTTCATTCTTCTCCTTTCCCCACCTGGCGACCAGGAGCGTGAGGAGGAGGCCGTCTGTGTCATTATGTGTGCGTCGGTCAAATACAACATCCGGGGTCCTGCCCTCATCCCAAGAATGAAGACCAAGCACCGAATCTACTACATCACCCTCTTCTCCATCGTCCTCCTGGGCCTCATTGCCACGGGCGTGTTTCAGTTCTGGCCCCACTCCATCGAGTCCTCCAGTGACTGGAGCTTGGAGAAGCGCAGCATCCGAGACGTGCCCGTGGTCAGGCTGCCGGCTGATAGTCCCGTCCCGGAGCGGGGCGACCTCAGCTGCAGAATGCACACGTGCTTTGATGTCTACCGCTGCGGCTTCAACCCCAAGAACAAAATCAAGGTGTACATCTACCCTCTGAAGAAGTACGTGGACGAGTCTGGCGTCCCGGTCAGCAACACCATCTCCCGGGAGTACAACGAACTGCTCACGGCCATCTCGGACAGCGACTACTACACCGACGACATCACCCGGGCCTGCCTCTTTGTCCCGTCCATCGACGTGCTGAACCAGAACACGCTCCGCATTAAGGAGACGGCGCAGGCCCTGGCCCAGCTCTCCAGGTATCTGGCACTTTTCAGACCGGAGCCAAATCCTGCAGGGAACTAAAGGGAAGGAGAGGGAGAGGGCTGTGTCTGCTCTTGAGCTGCTCCCAGCTGCTGTTGCTTTTCTCGTGGGAGGGGTTGTGGACGGGCGAGGGGCTTGCAGCAGGAGACCAGCTGTAAGCAGCTGGCGCCTGCCAGTGAGAAGCAGCTGTCGGCCTTCAGTGGTGCTGCTGGGGGCTGCAGCTTCTTAGGGTGCGCAAACTAAGGGGGGACTCGTCTCCCCACACTTTTTCTTTTATACCTTTCCCCACCTCTCTGTTACTCACAAATGCATATTCAGCGGTCGAAAGCACAGGTGAAAAAAGGGAGAGTGTAAGACTCATTCCACAGCCCTGTTTCTGAGAGAGAATCAGTATTAATGTTTTGATGCTACAGTTCAGTCATTTCTGTATGAAAACATGTGCATGAGGATTTTTGCCAGGAATGGGGTCACATTCTATGTGCCATCTTGCTGCCTTTTTCCCAGAAATATCTCACGAGGATATTTTCAAATAATTTCGTACTCTTTTACTATCTAATTTTAAGGCTGTACTGTGTAGCCTTCCATTTTGCATATGTTCCATGATGTATTTCATTTATTTTTATTCATTTATTTTTTTACCCACTGGTGCACATTCAGAGAGTTTTCAGGTTTTCATTATCACAGGCGCAGCTCTGCAGCGGACAGGCCCGGGGTGCACTCCCACCCGTGTTTCCTTTCGAGGCTCCAGGCTCGTGCTGTGGCTGGACTAGAGTCCGCGTTGCGTGCCCGGCAGGCGCCCCTGTTTCTGGTCCGGGTGCTCGCTCCTCGTGGTCCAGGAACTGTCTCTTGTTTTTGTTTCTTCGTCATCGTGTAAATTCTCCTACTCACTTAATTTCTTAACAGGTGGGACCGAGGCACAAACCACCTGCTGTTTAACATGCTGCCTGGAGGCCCCCCAGATTACAACACGGCGCTGGATGTCCCCAGAGACAGGTGGGTGTTTGGGGCTGTCACCGCGATGCCTTTCTGAGGGTTAAGTACATCTAAGACCCTTTCGTTCATGGGAAATCATATTTCTCAGCCTACTGGGACAGACTTTTTATCAGAATTCTTCGTTAAAATAAAAAATTGCCCTGGGCATTTTCCTCCTTAAGAAATAGAATTATCGAGACCTGCCTAAATCTGTTGTGGAGAACCAATTACAGCGTATGTTCTAGCGTAGTGTCTTAAAAAACTTTCTGTTTTCTTCCTTAACCTGGGTTATGCTCTTCTGAGTGCGGCGCTCTCACCCCCTAAGGTCTGGTTTGCGCTGGGCTCGTGTCACCTGTCTGAATCTGTGAGCACTTGCGGAGTAGAGCCACGGCGTACCGAGGAAGAGGGCGCGGGTGTGCGGGAGCCCAAAGTCTGCAGCGGTGGGGCGGAGGCCGCTCCCATGATCGTTTTCTCTCCGGTGTGCGGTTTTTGCCTGCCTTCTTCCTCCCTCCCCTCCCTACCCCTCCTTCCTTTTCCCTTCCCTCTCCCCCCCTCTCTACCCCTCCTTCCCAACTAACCTTCCAAAGGGGCCGATGTGGTGGGGGTGGCCATGATTACATGGGGTGGTTTTGAGTTCATCGACGGCACGTGCCAGCCTGTTCGCGTGCTGGCTGACCCACTCTGCCCGGAGGCGTCCTGGGAGCCTCAGGGATGAGGTGCCTCTAAGGCTCCTCTTTGGACTGGGTCCGAGGCCCTGGGGAGAGCAGTAAGCTCGGGCCCAAGGGAAGAGTCCTGGGCAGTACCCAAGGGATAGGGTTGTTAGAAGTTTATGCATGAACTCATTTCTAGTCACTTTTATCACTGTTGATGGTAACTCTTAAAGTCATTGTTGCTGAAATACGTGAGTGAACAGTCCAAGGCCAGCTGTGTTCTCAGTTTGTTAGAGGCTGTTATCATTTATGAAAACCTATACTCAGACTGCTTTTCCCCAGATCATTAAGTCTAAGCCCTCTTTACTTTAAGTATTATCAAGAGTCAATGTGTTTCCGTCTGGAAACATAGTTATCACCAGGAGAGACACACGAGGACGCCTCCACAAGGCTGGTGTAGAAACCATTTTGGACGATAGAGGGCAGTCATGCTACACAAGGTCATACACCAAAGATCCCTGACCTGGTGCTCAGCCTGTGTTCTTGTGCGGGCTACTCAGTTCCGTGGACTGGGCGGTTCTGGGGAAGGGAGGTACTTCAGAGAACAGAGAAGGGGAGGAAAGGAGCTGTTAGGAGTACAATGTCTTCCCCTGCTGTTCTGGGTTTGAGATGGGCTTGTTTCTGTTCGAAACATTTTGGGTTTTGCTGACATTTTGGTATATGTATCTGCATAGGAGAAGGATTTTATTTTTATTAAGTACACATGTTAAATGAGGTTCCATTTCTCTGCAGGAAAGTGTCAATCATTGAGGAGAAAGTTGAAGTTCTTGCTAGGTCTCAGGTGTTCAGGATCAGGAAGGTTAAGTTGTTTCCCCAATGGGTGTACTTTGGAAGTGATTAGAAGTGATCCTATGGCAAGTAATGAATCACCATATAGTCCCTTCTCTGTCTTCGCATGTGGGAAACGCGTTTTGCAGCCTAGGTGGTCCTCAGGTTGGGGGGAGGAATAGAAGATTTGTTTGCTAATTTTTCTTATTCTTTGTTCTTATTCCTGGATTCAGAGGAGGCAAGAAGCACGAATATAGAATGGTCTCAGCAGGAGATGCATGTCAGATTATTTGGAAACCAGAAAATAGACAGGCTAGATTAGATTGCTTCTAAGATCTCCCAAAGTCTGAAGTCGTAGGTGTGGTCACTGAAGACTCCTTTTACTTTGGGGAAATGCGAGGGCTGGGACGTAAGGAAATGTCTGCTCGGTGAACATCTTTTATGTTGCTTAAATCTGTTTTTATTTCTCTTTCAGTTTTCAAAGATCATACATGAGATACACATGTACTTTCTTTGTACAAGGTTGGAACCATATGCAAGTGTATAAAGAATAAAATGTAAAAGGCCCTGGCTGGTGTAGTTCAGTGGTTTGAGCACGGGCCTGCGAACCAAAAGATCGCGGTTCAATTCTCCATCAGGGCACATGCCTGGGTTGCAGGCCAGTTCCCAGCAGGGGATGCACCAGAAGCAACCATACATTGATATTTCTCTCCTTCTCTCCTTCCCTTCCCTTCTAAAGATAAATAAATAAAATTTTTAAAAAATGTAAAAATATGCTTTCACACCCTCCTCTCTGTTTACCCCCCTACTGAAAGGTAATCACTGCTCTCAAATACTATGTATTTTTCAATGGCTTTATACACTTAATATATATATGTGTAAAGATATATATTTAAATCTTAACTTAATTGGGAGCAAACTATACTTTTTCAATGCCTTACTTTACCGCCCTTTATTTTCCCAGGTATGTTCTGTAATATTCCTACCTCGGATTTTTATTATTCTCTCTTTGCACATATCTGTCACGAATTTCTGCTTTGTGTGGGTGTATATTTATTAATTTACACTTGTTATGGAAAATGGTAAACCTGCACAAAAGGAGAAATGCTGGCACCATGCCCCACCCCCATCGTCAGTGATCCCTGGCCAGAGGCCAGCCCCCCCCCCCGCCCCCACCTGCGCTCAGACGCAGATCATCTGGAGGAAAACCCCAGATGCTGCAGCACCACGTTTGTAAATATTTCCATTTGAATTTGCACGCAGGGAGCTCTTTGAAATGCCTAACTATAGTGCTATTATCGTACCTAAAACGTTAATAGTAATTCTTTAATGTTACTAAATATCCACTCAATATCTAGCCACTGTTCAAACTTACCTGTCTCAGAGATACTTTCTATGGTTTGATTTAGTAAATAAATACAGGGTGGGGCAAAAGTAGGTTTGCAGCTGTTCATGTGGAAAAGTAGTACAGCAATTAATAAGTAATGATACAGGAATAAATAAACTGTGGTCCATGCACTCACAGCTGTGAACCGACTTCTGTCCCACCCGTATGACCAAGATAATTGGTCAGCTTTTTTTTTTTTTTGCAAAATCCGAAGCTTTGTATTTGAGGAATCTGCAGCCCTGATTGCACGCGTGGTCTAAAAGACAGCAGGGGATGAGCTTACAGGGGAACTGTGTTCCGACACTCAGAAAGGAGGAGACTAGGAGAACATCTGGGGGAGGACCCGAGGCCGTGGGGAGGGTGCAGGGCCAGGGGGGACGACCTGGAGCCAGGAAGTCCGGGAAAGTGCTGCCGGTGCCGGAGGCCGCTCCGAGTGACCCTGCACAGCTCGGCGAGGGTCTGGTCGTCATGTCGATACGTTTTTGACTGCAAGTTTTCTACCTCTTCTCTTGCAGCTTTGGAACTGATCTCTGGTTTTGGGATACATAATGGGAAAACAGAATGCGCTTCTCCGAAATTCATTTTTCAGTCAACGTAAAACAGGTGTTTTTAAAGTGAGGGATGCTTACAACATTTTCTCCATTATACTGTTATGGAGCCATCGGCAGAAGACACAGTGACTTAGAATCGAAGTCTTGTCGACAGCAGGGCTGGTGTGAGGTCTGTGTGACTGATGGCGGCCGTGGCTCTTTCCGAGAGGACGAGTGGAGGTCGGGCCTGTACGATCTGTGACGTAAGACGTGCTTTGGGTTGTGTGCTTGCGGACCCAAAGGTCGACAAGGTGCATAACCCCTGCCTTCCCCCCTCCGGGATCGGAGTTCGGTTGGAGCCTCAGGGGCAGAGTGACAGTGAAAGTTGGTGTGACAGGCCCTGCTTCCTCCCACAGCCACAGCCCAGGGGAGAAGGGTGTGTGACAACATGCACACTCCCCTCCTCCTGGTCGTGGAGCCTGCCCAGATCCATGCGGGATGCATTCACTGCCGAGTGCCGATCGGGAAAAACGAGACCGTACGTTGGTGTTCAGAATAGTCACTGAGTTTTACAGAGCAGACTGGCAGCCGGAGCGATTCTTTTAGCCTGCACATCACCTCACTAACCAGTTCTTGGTTTCGGAAACAAGCAGATGGGGATTTCCGGGGATGGTTTGAAACTCTTTGAACTTTCACCGGTCAAGTTGGAAGAGAACGTACACTGTCATCAGGGTGGGGGGTGAGAGGGTTGGTAGCAATCAATATTGCAGAAAATGTGGTTTCTCAGGTCAGACATTTGGGTTTAGACTGCGTGGTGCGTGGAACTGGCAGAACTTTGCCCCAGGCAGTGATTTTGATGGCTTCGGGATCCCAAAGACAGACGGCAGTGAAAGTCGGTGTGATCGACACCTGCTGCCTTTCTCTGATGAAGTGCCATTCTGCTGCTTGCCCGATCCAGTTAAAACGGAGCATTTACAGCTTTCTAATTGAGAATAAAAGCTGGTGCACGCACACTGCTCGGGAAGCACTGAATGTCCAGCTCTGGGTCCTGCGTCCTGCAGAGGGAACCGGGTTAACCAGCCTGAGCACCCGGAATGGGCGGTGACGGCTCCGAGAGTCCGCAGGGTTCCTGCATAGCCCTGGGACGGCAGGGGAGGAACCGCCCGGGGCAGGAACTGGACTTGGAGCGAAGCTGGAGCCTATGCAGCCTGAGACGTCAGAGCTGCTTTCCGTGCCCCTTGTCTCCCGAGATTCTACTCAGTGAGTAGGGGAGTGACCGCCTGGCCAGTCTTCTCTGCAGACCTGTGGTTCTTCCTGTTACTGTAACCGTAGTTAAGACCAGGGTGTGACTTTTGGGGGAAGTGAATGGGATCTGAATAAGGCAGTAGAGGGGCTATTCAGAGGGCGTCCTCTGGGCTGTGATGTATTTTTAAAAGTGGAAAGGAAGGAAGGACTACTGGGACTCCGGAGGAAGGCCGGAACCTCGGGGCCAGGGCGCAGCCGATGCCCAGGAGATCTGATGCAGACATTGAGCACGGTGTCTTTCTGGAAGAATGACTAAGCGCACATGAGCCGTTGTTGGTAGTAAGACTCAGTTGCAGCAGGTCCTTGAATAATGCCATTTCGCTCGACTTTGTCTCCTTACAACACTGATGAGGTGCAGCAGGGGCCCAGCACTGGATTATGTCAGTCAGCCCGTGGATGAAACACAATTGGTTTTGTTATGTGTCGTTTTGTCTGCAGTTGCAAAGCCTACCCGTGGCGTTAAATGAGGACTTAACCGTACTCCCGTCCCTTCTGCAGAACTTACCAAAGTGAAGACCTGCTTTCTCATTGTTTGACAAAATGTTTTGCTTTCAGGGCTCTGTTGGCTGGCGGTGGCTTTTCCACGTGGACTTACCGGCAAGGCTACGACGTCAGCATTCCTGTCTACAGTCCGCTGTCTGCTGAGGTGGACCTTCCAGAGAGAGGGCCAGGGTAAGCTGCACTCGGCACGGCCAGGCGTGCCGTGAGATGCCGACCGTGTTCAGCCCGGACAGCATCGCAGCAACCAAAGCGTTGGTGGTAGCCCAGACTCCTTGCTTCGGCCATCCCCGCCCCAGTCTGGTTCATTCCTCAAGTGCTCTCTCAGTAAACGTGCAGTGCTACCTGCCAGGCCTTCCAAGTCAGAATCCACGTGGTGTCCTTCACTCCTTTCTCTCCCTTCTATACCGGAAGGCTAAGTCTTACTGATTCTACGTCCTAAATGTTTCTTGGCTCTGTCTGCCCTGTCCGCGCCGTATGGCAGTTACTGTCATTGCTCCCTGTTGCTGAAACGGCCTGCTAGCTGGCCTCCCTGCCTCGGGTTTTGCCGCCCCCCAGTGTATGTTGGCTTCACGCAGCCCTGAGGGTAAAGCCCAGACTCACAAAAAGGTCCTTCAGGCCCCTCTGTCTCAGGACCACTGTCTCCATCTCTAGCTTTTTTTCTCCCTCTTAGTTCTTAGAAAAAGGTTTACTCTCTCGCTTTTTCTGGGCTATAGAACTTTCTATTATCTGGAAATCTTTCTCATTTTCATCAAGCTAATGGCCCACTTGTTCTTTGGATCTCAACTGGCAGACCACTTACTCGAGGGGCACTTTCCTAGCCCCTGGAATGGCTGTTCTGCCTTCTGCACCCATCGCAAGCCTGCGCTCTGCCAGGGCACTGTGCGCCGTGCCCCGCTGCGGAGACTTGCTCAAAGCCTCTTCTTTGGATTTCGGATATTGTAGGGGCAGTGCAGCTGGTGCCTGGTCCATTTTTTAACTGCTATGTCCTTCGTGCTTGGCACAGTCTTGCCTCACATTTTTGACACGTGAGCAAATGAAAAGAGCTGGCAGCATGGATGTATGGGGCATTCTGTCTCCCATTTTTTGCTGTAGTCTGTTTAAGTTGTGCTCATTCACGGTGAGACTGTCAATGAACTTTAAACAAATGTGATGATAACTTGTGTGCCAGGTGCTCCCGTATGAAGGCAACTCATTTGTACACGGCCCCCTAGAAATATACTGGCTGAGATGTAAAAGCCTACATACAGCATTTGGGCTTAGAGTGAGTCTCAAGGCAATCATTTGAGGATACAAGCATCATCCTCACGCACCCCAGGCTTCCCCGTGGAGGCCTCAGCGGGCTCTGGGAAGAGACCCTCTCCGAACTGAAGGCGTCTCTCTCTTCTGTGTGCGTGTGCCCTGCAGTGTGGTCTTGGGCCACAATATGGAACTTACTTCAGACGCAGCAAATTTGTGATTGAGATGACGTGTGGAAAAGTCCCGGGTGAGGCTGAAACGTCGTTCACTCTCCCTGTGCAAATGCAGAAAGTGCAAAGGAAGGTCGGATGGTTCGTGAGCTTGTTGCGTAGATGCACTTTCTGGGTGTTTCTCTGTGAGTGGACTCCCAGAGTTGACTTCTTTTTTAATTGAGATCATTTATATACCATAAAATGCACTCTTTTAACATGTACCACTCAGTGAATTTTTAAAAATTGAGGTTTAATGGATGTTTAACACCGTGTAGGCTTCAGGTGTACAGTGGGCTGATTAGATACAGTTCAGTGGTTTCTATCTAATTCCAGAGCATTTTCATCACCCCCAGAATGAGCCCGGTACCTATGAGCCGTCCCGCTCCGTGCACACGTTGAGAAAGGGTATTCCGTGCCAGCACGGCGTGTACCTTTGGGGTGGTGCACGTTTCTGTCACGTGTCTGGTGCCCTAGTTCGGCACACTCGTGCCGCGCTAGGTGCCAGTAACTATAATGAAGCAGAGAAAAGTCCACTGAACTTGGAAAAAAGTTCACTCCTCTGCTTGCTATTTCTTTGAGCATTTACTTAAATTTAAATCAGTTGTATGATTTTTGAAAGTTTTTTTTAACCCTTAGCTTTATTTTTCCTGAAGTTCTTCTGGAAATTATTTAATTCAATTCAATTCACTTCAGTTCAACTCAAACCTTTATTGAAGGCCCATTTGGACCAAGAACGGCTTGGGCCCCCGGGAACATTAGGCAGCGGATGGAGCCGTGTTTTACTGTTGTGGCCGAGGGTGCGTGTTTCAGTGGTTTGCCAGGAGGACTCCCATAGGAAGTGAGCATGTAGCTGTGCTCACCCCGCGGTTTATTGCAGTAGAAGGATACAAAACGCAGTCTGGGAGGGAAGGTGCACAAGGTGAAGTCCAGGGAAGCAGGTGCAGGCGCCCACGGGCCCCTCCCAGTGGCGTCGAATGAAGGAGGGGCTTCTTTCCCCCAGCAGCAAGTTGTGACAGTGTGTTGACATGTTGCCAACAGGGAAGCGTGTTGGAAACTCAGCACCCAAGCTTTTCTGTGGGCAGTCGGTGCTTGGCGTGCGCCAGAACTCCAGACTCCCAGAAGGAGAGCAGGTGTTCAGTGAGAACCATGTTGTTCGTACAGACAGTATGGGCGCAGTTCTCACCAGTTCTGGGGGTGGTGGGACGTCTCCCAAACCAAAGTTCCCGTACATTAGCAAAGGGCCAGCCTTTCAAAAGAGAACAGTCAGGCCTGCAGCATTAACTCTGTTCTGCGTAGGGGTCCCCTGACATCCACTCAGGGCAGCACCCCACGAGAAAGAATCACTGGACTCCTGTCAGCAACGCGAGGCTGAGAAGGCCTGGGCGAGGCGGGGAGTCGCTGGCAAGGGTCAGGGCTGTCGGGTCAGCTTGGCCACGCCTGGGCCTCTGTCTTTCCTGAGGCTGCTTGAACCACACTCTGTATTATCTAATCTCTCTGGTGTAATTTAGCTCTCTTATATGGTTTAGGGCCCTTACTTCTCTTCAGGCTTAATCCAGGGCAGAAAACATACCAAACAGAGTCCCAAACAAGATGAACCCAAAGAGGCCCATGCCAAGACACATCATAATTAAAATGCCAAAGGTTAAAGATAAAGAATCTTAAAAGCAGCAAGAGAAAAGCAGTTAGTTACCCACAAGGGAGCTCCCATAAGACTGTCAGGTGATTTCTCAGAAAGAAAGTTTGCAAGCTAGAAGGGATTGGCAAGAAATATGCAAAGTGATGAATGAAAAGGAAGGAAGGACCTACAACTAAGATTACCCTTTAGAATGGAAGGACAGTCCGAAGAAAAAGCTACAGGAGTTCATCACCACAAATCCAGGATTATATGAAATGTTTGTTAAAGGGTCTTCTTTAAGAAGAAGAAGAAGATCAAACTGTGAACAATGTCAATAAATTCATATCTATCAGATATGAATGTCAATAAATCCATATCTATCAGAGCAGAAACAGAATTGTGGATACAGAGAACATTTTGATGGTTGCCAGATGGGAGGGGAGGCTGGGGGGTGGGCAAAAAAGGAGAAGGAATTAAGAAGTACAAGTTGGTTGTTACAGAACATCCATGGGAATGTAAAGAACAGCATGGGAATGGAGTAGCCAAAGAGCACGCACACGCGGCCCAAGGACAGTGAGTGGCGTGAGGGTGTCCTGAGGGAGTGCGGGTGCTGGGGGGAGAGGGGAGCGAAGGGAGAAAAACCGGGACACCTGTAACAACATAACAATAAAATATAATTTACAAAAATAAAATTTTGATGTAACAAGTTTAAAAAAAAAGACAGTGAAAAAAGAACAAATCACTCTGCACAGTAAAAATTATTTTTAAGTAATTTGTTTCAGACTTAAACTGCTGCATTGACTGTTTTTCGTAGTGAATCTCTCTACAGATTACATATAATAAACTGACATTAAGATCTGTAGCGAGATCACTTGAGGTCTCAGTGAGTTTCTGAAGTTCTGCTGTTCACTAACTAGATACTGACACCGTGTATCTTCAGGGGCAGCAGCGGAAGGTTCAAGGCTGCATTGGGCACGGTCCTCCCTCTGCTGGCCAGGGGCTGACTTCTGCGTCTGAACTCACAGTTGGGCCCTGAAGCCGGGGTGTTTCTTTTATAAACAACCTCATACCCCTTCACCCCTGCCTCAGAAAAACAAAGTCAGAAAAGGAAAAAATAAGGCAAAGACGGCGGGCTTCAGACTCATCATCCCTTCCAGGGACTCGGGGGGAGGCGGGCCGGGTGACCCCATGGCAGTGTTTGGGATCTGCTGCTCTTTGTGAGAGCTGCTTTCTAAGGGAATTCCCACATCTCTTGAGGGCTATATAGAGTAGCAAGAGCTCTGTTTTTTATTTTTATTTTAAATCTCTCTCTCTTTTTTCAATGGGAAGCTCAGGGTTATTGCTATTGATAGCTGCTTCTCACAGCTGTGCTGGCCTCAGCTGGAATTCTTGTCATTTTCTCTCTAAAAGGAACTAACTTGGGAGTTTGCAACTGTTACTGTGAGGGAGACTTGAAATTCTCAGCGTGGTTTCACTTAAACTTAGATACGGACACTGCTGGGAGGGAACATGAAAGTCATGGCTAGTAACTTCAGTCCTGGAAAGAAAAACAAATTCCACCTGAACATTTTGTTTGCTGAAAACTAGAACGGGCACCCTCCGTCAGCCATCTGTCAGGCCAGGGAGAGCCAGCATGGAGCGGGCGAGCGGTTTTAGATGGTTGTCCGCATGTGCGCATGTGTGTTGACATGGGGCAGTGGGGGGGGGCATGGATCCAGCAGCACTGGCGACTGAGCCCCTGCAGTGGACTTTTGTTTCTGAGCTGTGAAGTCTCAGCCGTGGTCTTTTGGGCCTTTAGTTACCTGAGCGTTTCCCTGAGCACCGCACATTGACGCCTGTATTTAGTTCTGTGTCGATGTGGGTGAATCTCTCTCTCTGAATGTGTGCATACGAACACCATGTGCTTCTGTTGACATGTCCAATCTGTATTGGGCACTCCCTTCTCTGACAGTGAGAAGTCTGGTTCCCGTTGTCCTCAACACCTTCCTCTCCCACGTAACCAAAATTCTGTTGCTGCCACTGCCCCCACCTCACTGCCCAGGTGCCCTCTTCACTGTCGCTCAGATTCAACACCTGCCCCTCCCCACACGGAGCTCTTACAGTTGCTCCCCGCCCTCCTCCGGCCACCCAGAAGCATAAATACCTTCCTTACCCTTTTGGGGTTCCAACACCCCACACTGGGGTAATATCACTGTTGCCATCACCCTCCCTACTACTGGCACGGTGCCCTTTTCAGTCCGCCCGAGCTCGGACACTGCTCCGGATTCCCAGATGCCCTCCGAGCCTCGCCTGGTCGCCAGCACCCCATGCTGGGTCGTGGTAGCTACCTCTGCCCCTGCCCACGGTACACAGACCTCGGCCACCATTTTCGGGCTCTCCTTCTCCATGCTGGCCACCTCCCTGCTCTTCCCCAGGTGGAAGGTCTCACCCCACAAGGGCTTCGACACTCCACGTGGGCCGTCTGGTGGTGCAGACACGCCCTCCTCCTGCACCTACACCCTCTTGGAGGCCAACATGTCTGTTCTTACTCTGCATGGCGGAGAGCACCAGTTTTATGCTAACGGCTCTACTTAAGCAGAAAGCCTTCAGGAACATCTGGCAACTACCGTGTACCAGTCTTAGGGATTGGACAGACCTATAGAGGCCATTTAGCCTAAACCCAGTGTATACCTTTTCACTATAATTTCTAAATGAAAAGTTTTCTCATTTGTAATAAAAAAAAACTCTTAAAAATTTTTATCCTAGCCCTGGCTGGTGTAGCTCAGTGGATTGAGCGCGGGCCTGCGAACCAGACAATCGAGGTTCGATTCCCAGTCAGGGCACATGCCTGGGTTGCAGACCAGTTCCCTGCAGGGGATGCATGAAAGGCAACCATACATTGATGTTTCTCTCCCTCTCTCCTTCCCTTCTCCTCTAAAGATAAATAAATAAAATCTTTAAAAAAAAATTTTATCCTCACTTGAGGACATTTTTTCATTGCCTTCAGAGAGAGAGGAAGGGGAAGAGAGAAACACGGATGTGAGAGAAACACGGGTTGGTGCCTCCTGTAGGGACCCAGACCTGGATTGTACACACCTGGACCCAGGACTGAACCCGCAGCCTGGGCATGTGTCCCGACTGGGAAGTGACCCCGCCACCCTTTGGTCACGGGGCAGTGCTCCAACCAGCTGAACCACACCAGCCAGGGCAAATTTTAATTGATTTTAATTTAAATGGCCTGATGTGGCTAATTGCTATTGGACAGTGAGGTTTTAGGGACTCTGCTTATTCCTTTCTTTGTTCACTGTGGTGTGAGAAATGCCCTTTGCTTTTAGTTCAGTTGTACAAAGAAACTGCCAAAAGAAATGGTTCTGAGGATTCATGAGCGATCTGGCTGTGGTGTGTTTCTCCCTGTTCTCTGGAGTCTGCCCGGCTGGTCTGCCCGGCGAGGCCAGCGTCCCCTTCCCACTCATCGCTCTGCGTTCGGGCCTGAAGCTAGATGCTCAGTAAAAGTGATGATCTCAGCTAGGGAATGATTGATCATTGTTTGGCATTGGATGTATAAACCCCGAAGTAAGTCTAAGAAAGGGGAAAAAACCAAAAAACAAAGAAACCAATCACCCTTCCTTTCTCCCCAAAGCAAGGAAAGAAAAAGAGGGAGGGATGGCTGACAGAGTCTAGGTCCCTGGTCGCTCCTTCTGAACAGGCTGTGTCAGCGTCCAGCCCGGGAGACGCACGGCCCTTGTATTTCCCCTGGTCTGTACCAGTGAGACGTGGATTCAAATGAGTACTGCCTCCGGGTGTCATGGGTATTTCATTTCTTCCTGGAACCTTGGAACATAACCTTTATGTTATTTTTTTCTAGTGGTCTCTCAACCTATATAGTCTTCATGCTCTGTAACCTCTCTGTTTTCTGGGAATCTTGCCTTCTGGGAGGGAATTACCATCTGGTCTCCCCCTCAGTTTGCCCTTGACTTCTGGCTTACTAGCGGAGTGCAGGCATTTTTATCTCTCATGGAGATCTTAATGACACTGGACCCTTGGGGATCCTTCCCTCACTTCGTTTTTTTTTCATGCATCCCCACTATTCAGATGTTGTTGAGACTGATGCCATCTTCCGGCAGGGATTTTTTTCACTTGTTCTCACTTACCGGCTTGGTCTGGCTCGTGTCCAGGTGGCCTTCACCGTGGGCGCTCTCTGTCCCTCGTAGCGCAAGGACACCGTTCAACGGCCCGCAGCCGTCTTCCATCTCTCTCGGTTCTGCTGCCCACTAAGTTTCCCTCTTTTCCTGTTTGAAGGGTGCGCCAGCTCTCAGTTCCTTTTCTGGTCAGAGGATCAGATATGACTGATGGTAACATGTTGATGTTTCTTCCGGTCAACCCATCAACCAGTCAGTTTTTCTCTTTTTCAACATACACCCGTATGTGTAGGATGCTCTCTAAGCTTGGCATATTGTAAGCATTTTCTCAAAACATTAAGAACTTTTTTGAAATAAAATTCTCAACTATTGCATAATATGAGAATGAGTCATACCTTAATCTCTTACGGTGCATAGTATTTTGAACATTCAGCCGTGCTACAAAGTATTATTTCTGCCCAAGTCAAGGCATGTGAAGACCGGTGAGGAAACACTGGTGTGCTCGTCGTCAGAGCGTGCCTTACCTCCACCGACACACGGCGGCTCGCTGCCGCCGGTTCCCTCTTCTGCAGGCCCCGGCGATACTTCCTGCTGTCGTCCCAGCTGGCTCTCCACCCCGAGTACCGAGAGGAACTGGGGGCCCTGCGGGCCGCGCACGGGGAGTCCGTGCTGGTGCTAGACAAGTGCTCCAACCTCTCCGAGGACGTCCTCTCCATCCGCAAGCGCTGCCACCAGCACCAGGTGTTCGAGTACCCCCAGGTGCTGCAGGTGAGTGCCGCTCACTCCCTCTCAAGGCGCAGTGGAGGTCACATCCAACAAAGTGGAATTAACCCCAGCAAGCAGGAGCAGTTCTCCACTTGCCACTCGGAGAGCCCCCGAGGGGAGAAGGAAGTGCCACATCGCCCTTGACTGGCCGTGCAGACGTGCGGGTGCCTCCTCACGTCTGGCGTGCTGTTTGTGCAAAGCTTCTTGGCCTGCGAGTGTTCATACTCCTTTCAAATACTCATCATACTTCAAAATGCAGATGCGTTAGCTTTGCAGAGAAGCCACACAGACAGAGTAGGCAGATGCATTTTGCCTTCACCCCTGTATTCGTAAGCCAGCCAGAGAGACTTTTGTAAGTGGCAGCTTGTGTCCTCTGGGTGTGCTACCCCACAGGGCTACCAGCTTTCCTGGGGAGCAGGGGCTTTTATTTTCAGTCATTGTTCTGTTTTTTGGTGTGCTGCCCCCTCCCCCCACCATGCCCAACTGGGCCTGTACCTAAACAGGGGAGCAGTGGTACCTTCCTAACCGCCGGCAAAGCAGTCCTTGGGGATGTGTTATAAGCAGGATATTTGGCATTCCAAGAGCATGGGGGCTAGGAAAGGAGACACTGAGTTTTGTTCACTTAAATATTTAAAGTGCAGACAGGTTACTTCAAGGAGAAATACCAAGGAGCTGGTGTGATTTTTTTTTTGAATCTCCAGAGAGAACTGGCCCATGCTGAGATTGTTAAAATCCTTCCTTTCAGAAAGGGCTGCATCTGCTCTGGAATGTCTGACTGATAACAGTGGTGCTGTGAACAGGCGTATTTATAGTAACCTTTGTCTAGACAGGAAGAGTGGCCATCCGCACGTGTGTCCGCATCTGGACGCCGACTCCGAGGGCCGGCGGGCCGTCCACCTGCACCGCCGGTGCCACGCTGGGCCGTCTTCCTTGCCCCCCGCTGCTTCCCTGGTCTGTCCCCAGAGGAGTGTGGCATGTGGAGTTTCTCCACATTTTCTTCTAGATGTTCATTTTCTCTGGCTTTAAAGATTAAATAGCTTGTCTTTAAAAAATTTTTTTCTCCTAAGGAGACAAAATCTGGGAGAAACTGAGTATTATAAAGCGTCTTTTCTTACTTTGTTTTATGTGTTGCAGCTGCGTTTTCCCCATGCCTCTCTTACTTCCCCAAATGTTCCCCACATTGAGGAAGTGAGTGGGGAAGAAATCTTTTGAGGTTTTGCATTTTGTTTGATTTAGTTTTCTAAATAGAAGGTGTCTGTGTTAACATGTTTTCAAAGGCATTGTGTTCATGAAATGAGTATCTTCTGCATGCCGAGCACACCACCAGATGCCGTGGGGGGTGGAAAGATGAAATGAGACTTCATACCTTCCCTGTGGGGGGCCCTCTAGAGAGCCCGGTGCCCAGACAAAACAGCTCCATTACAAGGTGGGCTGCGGTAAGCGTGACGTCCAGCCGTTGTGCTTTGGCGCATTTACGCAGTGCACTGGAGTTGAGGGAGACCAGCCTGTGGGGAGTCATCCTGGTGAGTGTCCAGAGGAAGACCTGGGCGTGGGTTTGCATTTTCAGGGTGTCAACAGAGGAGGCAGTGACGTAATGCTGAAGGGCAGGAATGTGCGGTGTTGCAGCCAGTGAACTTTGAAGTTTTATTGGTGTGAGCTCTTACCTTGCAGCACTTTTGTGTCAGGATGCCTCAGTGTCGCTGGGCTTCGGCCTTTGGGAGAACTTCACGGTCTGCAGGGATCTGTGTACGAGGGTCAGCAAACCTGGTTTGTAACCCCCTTTTCCTGCTTCTGTCCCTGCAGGAGGCTACTTTCTGCGTGGTCCTTCGTGGAGCTCGGCTGGGCCAGGCGGTGTTGAGTGACATCTTACGGGCCGGCTGTGTCCCTGTTGTCATCGCAGACTCCTACATTTTGCCTTTCTCCGAAGTTCTTGACTGGAAGAGGTGGGTGTCACCTTCTAAAAAGCTTTACCTGAGTGGTTCTGTGTGGGTTAGGTTTCAGAGTCCCCAAGTACTTGCGACGTATCCCTTGCTGTGAGAACTACTCCTTTAGATTGTTTTGCTATGTTTTCCTTCAGGAGAGTTAGTCCATTGGCCTAGAGGTTGGCACAGAGGCCTGTGAGCCAACTAGGGCAAATTGCCAGTTCTTATACATAAAGTTTTATTGAAACTCGGCCCCGCCCTTTTAATTACATATTGTCTGTGGCTAGTCTTACGCCAGGATGGCAGAGTTAGGTGATTGCCACAGAGATTGTACGGCCCACAAAGCCTAAAACACTTACTCTCTGGCTCTTTACAGAAAGCATTTACCAACTGTTGGCCAAAAGCAGTGGTTTGTAGAGACTGTAGAATATATGTACCTGGAAAACTTTAAAAAATGCCTGGGCTTTGTCCTCAGGAATGCCGAATTTTAAAGCTCCCCACGTGCAGTTTGCGGCCCCTGTTGAGAACCAGCGCTCTGGGGTCCTCATGGAATTTGCCTGCTGTGACCAGCTGGGGGAGGAGTGCCTCCACATGGCCGGAAGCTTAGCAACATTCCCGAGCACAGCTGGACAGACGGAGGTTCTGCTGGTTCCAGCTGTCAGTGCTGTAATCAGCAGAAAAGCCTGCGAGTCTGAGTCACGTGATTTCACTTCCCCAGGACCTGGAGGTTAAGGATGATAGAAACTGCGTTTCTTTTGTAGATACTTCTCAGGCTTGACGTGGTCTTAAGTGCTTAATTGCTGTCCTCTCCCAGCTTTTTTTGATATTTCTTTCCTGGTCCGATCACTCCAGGTACTGAGAATTTAAGTAGCATTCACTCGCACCTGTATTCATTCATTCGTCTCACATTTGTTGGGAAGCCCACTGTGAATAAAATAGTCTCTGCTATCAAGGAGGTTAGAGTGTAGTGAGGAAGACGAATCCTGTGTGTTAAGTGCCATAACAGATACATTCATGGGGGCGATGGAAACCCGGAACCGAGAAGGGAGCCTCCTGGGAGAGGAGGGTGTGCAATTCTTTGTATCTTAGAGAAGTGATGAGCCGCTTCGGTCATGTACATCATCCATGAAAACATTGTGGAGTGCCTTTTATTTGCCAGGTACTATGTTAGGTATGGGGATTCAAGGATGATCAAGGACAAACCTCGCCTCCAAAAAGCTCATGCTCTGGTGGTGGAAGATAGACAAGTAAACCAGTAATTGCCAAACACCGTTTGAGCTCTCCTAGCAGGGTGGAGAGCTCGGAGCGGAGTGAGAAGGAGACAGGTACCGCTGCCGGTGTGGAGATGGCGAGGGCTTTACAGAGGCGGTGACCCTGAGCTGAGTGTGAAAAGATATTTCTGGCAGAAGCTAGGTCTGCCTGGGTAGTGGAGTTATGGAGAAGCGGTGGGAGGGCTCAGGTGTTCAGATTACCAGTTACATTACTGGCTGGCTTTGTGATCTTGGCAAATCATTTCATCTTTGTTGAGCTTCAGTTTTCCCATCTGTACAGTCAAAATCATGTATTCGTTTAGCAAACATTTATTAAGTGCTAACTGTGTGTGCACGCTAAGCAGTGTACCAGATGCTCAGGGTACGCCGGTGAGTGGAACTAGGCCTGCTTTCCATCCCGGTGGACCACTCTAGGGTGGGAGGGGGCTTCCGATCCAAATAAACGAATTTATACAGGCATAATGACAAACTCTGCTAAATGCCACGAAGGGCGAGTCCTTGCTGAGCCCCCCTCCCTCAGGCGGTGCCTAATCAGTGAGCAGACCCTGCTGGCGCTCCTTTCCCACCACCCGCATCAGTCCCTCCCTCGTCGGCATCTCTCGCCCAGATTTGGCCTCCAGCTGCCCTCCCTGCTCCCGGTCTTGCTGTTAGTACTTTGTTCTCACACTTCAGGCAGGGTGATTATGTTGGAACGTGGTCCAGTCGTGCCGTGCCTTTCCTAAACCTCCGGTGGCTTTCTGGCTCAGCCAGAGCCTGTGCACTCAGAGTGGCCTGCGAGGCCCTTCGTGCATTGCGGTGGCTCTCCTTCCTGTCTCTCCTCACCTCCTGGTCTTCCCTGTCTTCTTCACCGCTTGCCAGCCACGCCGGCCTCTTTGCAGTTGCTGCAAGGTTCCTGAGACGCTGCTTCCTCAGAGCCTTGCACTTATTAGTCTTTCTGCCTGGAACGCTCTTCTCTGAGGTGGTCTCACGGCTCTCTCAGGGGTTCCCAGGCTGCCCTGGCCTGTTCTGTTCACTGTTGTATTACCAGAACCTAGTTCCTTATAGGGTCTCCATAAATTGATGCTGGGTGAATGAATGGATTTGGATGCGCAGTCCAGCTAAAGGAGCAAGGTTGTCGTTCGTTCCGAGTGTGCCAGGCAGGCGGGACTTCCCACGCACAGGCCCTGTGTTGTGCAGAGGGCCAGGGTGGCTGGAGCGCTCCAGTGGGCTGGAGGGAGGACAAATGCAGCGGTGAGGGGAGGGGTGGAAATGGACCTTTGAGAAGGTTGGCGTGAGGAAGCGGGAGGAGCAGGCACTGCTCACCAGCGGGGTGGGGTGGGGGGAAGGGTGTGCGAAGGAGGTTCGTTCCTGCTCGTAAGAATTAAACAAGGTGATGTGTGTGGGGGTGCTCCGTGAGACGGGCTGTACCGACGTGAATTGTCCTGCTGTTGTCTCCAGAGCGTCCGTGGTTGTGCCAGAAGAGAAGATGTCAGATGTCTACAGCATTTTGCAGAGCATCCCCCAAAGACAGATCGAAGAGATGCAGAGACAGGTAAGAATGCTCAGCGGCTCTGCTGGGGAGGTGACCGGGCGATGTGCGGGGTGCCCTTGACCGCGTGGGTACAGAGCAGCAGCAGCTGATTGCGCGAGTGGAGTCTGTCTCCTCCACTACGTCACCCAACCAGCCTGGAAAGCGGGGAATGGTTTAGGTGAGCTGGTCACGTAAGGCTTGTTATAATAACTATCAGATTTACAAACACTTCCTGAGGGAAGCCTGCTGTGACTTTGGGGTCACACCGTAGCTGTGTGTTCTGGATGCAAAGCCGAGCCACTTGGAAGCTCGTTTCACAGCAGGTGTTGGCGGTAGTGACTAGGACAGTCATAGAGGCTGGAGCATTTCTGGGTGGTGCTTCTGAGTTCCTGTGAACCACGAGAATGTTGTCATCCAAGCTGGCCCAGGTTCCCGGTTTCTTTCCCTTCTAACACTTGGATGCTGCCGCCTCCCTCCCCGAGTCTCACCTTCTGGTGCCCCTTCCCTGGGCCGCTCTCTGCTGTCAGAAGCACTCCATCGGGTGTCCCGTTTAGGCCTGCTTCCTTTCTCCTGAAAAAAATTTAGTTGGGCTTAAATGTCAAGGAAATTTTAAAAAATTAAAAAGATTATCCTGATATTAGTACTGTGCTTACTTCTGTAAATGGATTTCCAAAGGTTTTATTTCAATCAAAATTGTCCATGTAGGAGACGGGCAGGGGGAAAGGTTTGAGGGGTTCTCAGCAGCGGTTGTGGAGCTGGGCCACGCATCCCATTTTTGTTCATTTTGGCAGCCCCACCCGCAGGCAGAGAGCCCGCGTTTAACCTGGTCCACAGAATGGTCTCAGGCCTTCCTCCGGCTGAGGGCAGGGCCATCCCCTGGCTGTGTGGATTGGGGAGGGGATCCGGGCTTCTGACAGCTTCTTAAATATGTTCACTTCATCCTCCTGCCTTTAGCCCCACCGCTCCCCCACTTGGGGTTCTGCAGGAGAACTTGGGTTTTCCTCAGCACTCCAGGACACAGCGCTCAGGGGCCTGAAGAGGCAGCTACCACTTCTGCTTTTCAGCTCTCCAGTTTTGTCGCTGTTCCCTCATCTGCCATTCTCTTTGCCTTAGAGCGATCATGCCTGAATTTTAAAAAATCCCCTTGATTGTCATTTGGGTTTTAGAAAGGAGTGGGAGTGAGTGGGTGTGTTCAGGCCATCCTCTTTATACTAACTGAGCTTCTTAAACCAAAGAGAGGGTTGCGTCCACAGCAATGAAGCCTCAGGTTCCTATCTCAGCCTGTACTGAGTGCTGGCTCGACCTGCTGCTGACTCTGAAGACCAAGGATTTGCCTTCCCTGGACCCCAAATCTGTAAGACAGTTGGACATTCTGTCTTGAAAACAAACCGCAGATTGATTTCAGCCTCCCCGTAGTTTTTTCATAGTGTACTTGTGTTCACTTTCAGTTTCTGGGCTCCCCAGTTGTCATTTAACTCATGACCTCACCTGAATTTTAGGGAATCAGAAAATGGGTCTAGAGATCTCTCGAATCTTGATCTAAACCCGTGGCTCTTACAACATGGGTAGAAGAAGCTGCTATATGAAGAGTCCTGATGTTTGTGCTCCTTGTGTTTTTATGGCTCCTTATTTACTAACATAACCAAATAGAGAATTGTCTGCTAGATCAGATACACTCTGTTACGAGACTGTTGTCTAAAAAAAGAAGCCGAGAAAAGCCCCTGCCTTCATGTAGGGAGAGAATCATTTGGTTTGTGGAGCAGATTTGGCCTGGGCTAACTCCCAGAATGCTGCTGTTCCGTAGGAGCACGGCCTGGGAACCACAGGTGTGAACAAGTGTGGCCGGTCATTTTCGGAGGTGACGCAGCATCATAGAGCCCTTGAGAAGGAGTGAATAAACACCATTTAAAACTGTATACTTCCAGGTTATTTGGGTTCAAAAAAACATACTTGGAGTCAAAAGACTTGGGTTTGTGCCCTGGCTCTGTCCCTATGCATCGTGTGACCATGACAAGTCACCAAGATTCCTTGGGCTTTTGTGTCCTTGTTTATGAAAGGAAGGGCGGCCAGGTCATTTCTCATTTTCCATTCAGCTGTTTGAAAACCCTGAAACTCTTGTTCTTAGAGAGAATATTACTGTCCTTGACAACCCCGATAATGAAGGTCATCTCTTCTCCTGCATGAACGCCTCCGGTCCTTAGGGCCGGTTGCCCCCTCTGGTGGTGAACACCCTGCATTGTGCCAGCCTGCAAAGGAGGCGAGTCATGGCCCCTCCTGCCTCCCTGTCCAGATCCTCTCCTGCCTCCCGATGCCCCTTTTCTCCATGCTGCACTCAGACCTTGTGGGGCATTCATTTCCCTGCAGTGCTTCATTCAGCCTGCTTCCCTTTCTCCGAGTGTTCTCTGTTCCAAAAATGACCTCTCTTCTTCTCCCTACCCCAGATTTCTAGACTGGTTTGATCTCAACCATAGGTGAGAGTGTCTGGTTGAAGTGATTCCAAGGCAGGCATGAGGGGCAACCAGGCTTAGCTACTAGCTGCCAACGCACACTCTCATCCCAAGTTGTGACTGACACCAGCAGTGTCTCTGCTCATCACCGAATGTCCCCTGTGGGACAAAACTGCTGTGATTGAGAACCGCTGTTCTGTCGATAGTTAAGGTTTCATCTCTCTAAGATTAGGGAGAGTCCTTTTGTTCTGTAGGGCCCTTTCCAGGTTACGCTGGACATTTTGCCCTCCGTTTATTGTCCACTGGTTTAACCTGACCTTGGCAGGAGTAACTGAAAATAGCATACACCTTGTTCCAGAAGGTTTTCACACCTTAGTGAATTCTCTTTGGGGAGGTCAAATTTTAACCTTTTTATAAGACAGGCATAACTTTTAGGGGAACACCCGCTGCATCAGTGGCTGGCACCCCGGAGCCCCTGGCTGGTGTGTCAGAGGGACTTTCCTGCTGAGCAACTGAGAACCAGCTTCCAGGGCTGCCTGGACAGCTGTAGCCAGCAGAGGTCTCCATCCACTTTTAAGTGACTCCTGTTCCTGCTGACTGTTTCAGTGTGTCCAAGAAACCGGAAATCCTTAATGCCAGGAGCTGCTCTGGTGTTTCACTCCGACCTTGTCCTCAGGGCCACTCCCTCTAGAGACTAATTCTTGCAGATGTGGTAGAAAGAGTGCTTAGCACAGGATTTTGCTTTTGCTAGATGGAATGGAGCTAAAGTTTCCAGATTGACCCCCCACAATCTGGGGTAGGATCTTGATGATGAAGGTGTTGCAGCAACATTTTGCAGCTCAGAGTTCAGGGTCAGAAAGGCTGCAGTCTGACCGATGTAAACAGTGGTCAGAGCCCTTACCGCGACTTGGGGATTGGGGTGCTCCAAGGCAGACACACATTCGCCTAACAAGAAGTGACAGTGTCCTTTTGACCTTAGATGTGACAGCGCAGCAGCCATAATATTAACTACAGGGCTAGAGCCTAAAGTGAGTAAGTGTAGTTAAACTGAGATTTTTGAGAAAAAGTACAACCCGTGGCTCAGCCATCCACTCCTGCAGGGCAACAGTGAGAAGGCCTGGCTGCCGTACATGGCTCTGGCCGGGCTACGGGTGGCTTAGGGTTTTTGTTTGTGTGTGGGTAACTTAAAAGCCAGTTCCTTCAATTAGTAGAGGATAACAGTTAGAACAGTATCAGTCGGCCTTTTAGTGTCCTATGAGCTAAATGAACTAGTCAATTAATTTAGTGAAGCCCTAATTAAGCGTTTCTCCCCCAAGGGAGGCTGATGGGAGACAACGAGAAATCCGAGATCCTCACTCACAAAAGCCTAGCAGTCATCTTGTGGACATGTGGGTGTAAGTACAAAGAAAGTGGAGGAGATGGTGCAGAGTTTTCAAAGTACGTCGGGGGTCCGAAGTGGAAGGGAGAAGGTGTGGGACAGGGACTGATTCCCACACTGGGGAGGTAGCGTTCGTGGGAGGCCTTGGGGATGGAGAGTCCCACCGACCATCCTTCTCACAACTGAAGGCAACCGAGTATTTTTGGTTGGTCTCATAGTATTCATATCCCCTTATCACAATGGAAAAGAAAGCAGTCTAGGATCTCGGAGGGCTGGGTAGACGCTGGACTGTGTGGTTAGAAATGTTTGTGTGGATAGGGAGGAAGGCGTAAATGGATCCCCAGTTTATCTGTTGAGTGGAGTTTCCAAACATTGTTTTATTGGTCAGTGGCTCCGCCAGCAGTGACCTCTAACCTCAGCCACACTAGGAGGTGGAAGTCAGGAGCCTGCCTTGCCTTTGAACTCTTCTTTGTACTCAGTCCACCGGGAGGCTTTGAGGTGGCAGAAACATCCAGCATCTTCTTTTCTTTCTCACCTTTAACGCTTGGGTAAGTTAAAATAGCAGTTCCCCTTCAGTCTCTTGCACTGACTTATCTCAGTTTGCCTTCCTATTTCCCTACCAAGCATAACTAATATTTGGGCTGTAGAGGTGCACTTGGAGATATAATGGGCTGATTAGGGAAAAGGCAGAATGCTTCTATGTAAGGAAATAAAGCCCCAGGTGTGTGGCACGGTCACCCACCGGACGGCAGTTGGGCCTCGCTGTGGTGGGGTGGGCAAGAGCCGCACAGACCACGTACCGGCGAACCTGCGTGTGCGCCGGTGCTCCCGCACCCCCCTCCCAGGAGAGTCCCTGACGAGGCCTCCTTTTCTGTGCATAGTTCCCCGTACACAGTTGCAATGCTTCGAATTCTCCAGTCTCCATAACCAGAGTAGATTGCAAGTCACAGATTTGAAGGGTCTCTGAGGTGGCCCATCTGCCAGTCTGGCAGGCATTGAGAAGGTGGAAAAGTTATTTTAGAAACAGATCTCTCGGCACATTGGCTGTGCGGCAGACAGCTCTGCAGGCTTCGCCGCCTGCCCGCCGTGTGCTGGCCGTGTCGTGGTAAGATGGCAGGGACCCTTGATTCAGAGAGGTGCATCTTGTTTTTCGTATTGTGGATTTCTGACCCAAATGGGTCTTACCCTCAGTTTGA